GTCACTGTCATGAGACATTCTCGCAAAAAATCACGGTTTTAGTAACGCAGTAACGCAGCGTTCCTACAGGAAAGTAACGGTAATCTAATTACCGTTTTTGCAATAGTAATCCCTTACTTTACTCGTTACTTGAAAAAAGTAATCGGACGCGTTACAAGTATCGCGTTACTGCCCATCTCTGGTTAGCAATAAGGAACAGTTTGCATTTTATTGGAAAGAGTTTCATATCGTGAAGTAAAGAGCCTACAGCATTACAGAGAGAATCAGTGATCACAGTGTCATCTACGAACACTTGGCAGCAGTAAGAAGGAAGAACTCCCGTTTACCAAGAAGAGACTCCTCCCACAAAGTGGGAATTACGCCAGATGGGAGGAACTGAATGGGAATACCAAAGATGAATAACAAACGTATCATCAACTTAAACCAACATGGAACTTCAAGCACACATAAGAACAGAATAAACAGAAGGAAAGTAAAGCTACCATCATAAGCAGAAGGAACATTAATCCCATTTCATAACCCAGGATGAACCTACACTCATATGCTGTTGGATGAACACAATTTAATCTTGGCACCTTTTTCCACGTGATTTAACCAAGTACAATAACTCATTTATGACCATGTCAACACATTTGGCATTTGGTGGTTTAATGTAATCAGATTATGTTGGATCAACGTAGTATACTTAAGTGAGTTATTGAAGTATGTAAAGTGAAATTTGTTGTAATTCATTCTACACAAGTTAAAAACTTCAGGAAAACACAATGAAATCTTGTTTCAAATCAAGGCAATAGAGATTGAAAATGTGACGTCATTCTGGGCTAAAACCACAAAGGATTGTAGGTACGAGTTGCCAGTGGCACTAGCGCATGCAGGCTTTCACATGAAAACAGTCACAGCGATAAAAAAAAAACACAAAAAATGGAAAGAAGCTGTTGTATTATTAACCGCAATAGCCGGTCGCATGACAGTCACGGGAAGCCGACGGGTAAAGAGATCGTTGTTATTGGATTACGTCGTTGAAGAGAAATTGTTCGAGTCATGTTTCCGAAGTAACAAAGAGGCGACGGATGGCCTGGATTGCAGCCATTCGAATGACCAAATATAACGTCCCAGAACACTCACAGGTTAGTCTGCTCCAAGCATTTCCACAAAGGTCAGTCTTCTGTTGTAGTTATTACGTAATTTATCATAATTGTTGATGTAGGTTACAAATAAGTCTTATATTGATTTCAATTGACTTCATTGCTATACTGCTTGGTTCACTGTGGCTTTGCAGGCTAATGTTTGTTGTGTTTTGTAGGAAAACCAGCCAACAAAATGCAGGAATGTGATCCAGACTGGGCCCCTCTATCAGCCTGGGTCAGACCGAGTTTAAAGCTGCTACCACAGCCAGATCTGATCGGTGAAGAGAGAGAGCGAGATCGAAACAGCCACAAAATGTCTGCATATATGTGCCGAAGTGTTGTATTGAAGCAATCAAGTGATGAATAACTGTTTCAGTATGTTGTTTTGTTTTGTTGTTGTTTTGTTTTGTTGCATTGTTGATTTGTTTTTCACCGAAGCAGCTAATAAAGCAGGATGGATTTTTACAATTTTGCCTCTTTCTTATAAGATTCTATAATAGAATGAAACAATAATGCCAGTTATAAATAAAGACAATAAAGTGAATGAAACACTCATTTTTTTTCTATTAGATCTGAAAATGTTGTGTAACACTACAACCTGAAACGACAAATAGATGCGTTGGCCTGTAACAACAGCTGTGAAATGGTCCAAATCACCAAAGTAAACTGGACCTGGGCTTGTTGCAGGATCTGAAGTTACTAAACATGTTGTGAGTGTATGCACTCACACTTAGGACCATATAATAATAAATATGTGCGTGACGTTAACATCCACTCTATGCTCGTGTGGGTCTGACCCTTTTTTCCTCGTACTTTTTTTTGCCTTTTCGTCACGTCTGTCTTTGTACAGAGCTGCCGTGTTCTCCATCGTTTTGTACATCACTGTTTTTGGGGCAAATAAAATGCAAGTAGGGATTAAAACCGCAGAATTAATGATTACCGGTGCTGGAAATGCTTGACGCAGTGTTTTGATTTTGTTGCCACTTGTACCCACAATGCAATGCGCGAAAGTCACGTGGTCTGTCGATCTCTATTACTGCTTCTCGTGCTTAATGAACCAATATGGGCGTTGATTATTTCATAGACACAAGCAACCATTTGCACTTACATTCATGGGTAATTTAGAATCACCAATAACTCTAATTACACACTGCAAACCAGCCAGACTGTGGATTTGAACCCAGGCCATCCATCACACCACCAAGCTGTCGCTCCAGACCTAACAAAACTAGGAAAGCTATGATTACCAGGCTTGCTGCAGAATTTTCTGTACGTTTTTGTCCTTGACAGGTTAAACCACAATAAATAGCGAGCGCACACACGTGGTGTGTGTGTACTTGTCTGCCTCTTAAAACTCCAGTGGTTTTCCTGCAGTTTGACATCTCATGTGATCTTGTGAATTTCGTGCGTCCAGGCAACGAACCACTCTTACTAGACTGTAATAATGAAATAAGACCAAGAGGAATTTGTATAAGGTAAGGAAATAAACAAGACCGGCAAACATTAAGCGATAACAGAAAGCTCCTCACGATGCTATTGTTGTCTGTAAATGTTAGGTAGAAACAAGTGCTTGTATGAATGTGTGTGAATGGGTGAATGTGACATGCTGTATAGGGCTGTATAACAAGCAGTCCGTTTACTAACCATGTGTCCAAGGTCACAGGACAGGGGAAACCTATCCTACCTGTCAAACAGTTACACCCTGGACAGCTGGCCAATAAGCAGGGCTAACACAGAGACATAAAGCACACCTGTGGTCAGTTTGGAAATGCCCAAATGCCCATGTCTTTGGAGTGTGGGAGGAACCTTAGGTACCCGGAGAGAATATGCAAACTCCTCACAGAAAGGCCACAGACGGGATTTGAACCCGGGACCTTGTCGATGTAGTAATATACTAATACTAATTTACTTGCATACTACTAAAATTTGCTGTCAAGGTTTATTTCATGAGACCGATACATAGACATAAAAACAGCGTACCTGAAATGAGGACAGCGTGGTCACAGGTCTGGTAGAGGCGACAGGAGAGGTGAGTGCCCAGAGGCTGCTGATGGCAGCGTCTCGTGTTTTTATTCAGCTCACAGCTTGAGACGGGCAAACTAGGCGAGTTCATGGGCAGCAGCTGAGGACATGCTGCAAAGTCTGTGTGATCTATCCAGGGAAAAGGAAAGTATCACAGAAAAGACACAGAAAAGGTCCTTGTCCCAGGAGGACGTCACGTTTTCAGTGGGAGAAACGTCACTCACCCAGGTGACTTCTTCAGTCTCAGCTGACTGCAGGTTTCCACAGCCTTATAAACAGTACACTTACAAAATGACCAAAGCTAGCTCCACTGACAAACAATGGGCCATCTGGTCAGTTTAATGATCAATAATACGCAATCTGTCATGAGCATTGATCAATGGTCGTAAATACCATTCACAGAGAGTTAAGGAATGGCTGCAGTTAAAACACTGTAAGATGTTAAAAGATGCACCCTTAGGCCCCCTCCTCGATTCAGAGACGTTTCTTGCACTGGCTGAAGTTTGGTCCTTTTACAGCATCCTGCCATGCCATTACATTTGTTCCTGACCACCGAGAACACTCACG